CTGCGATTACAGCCTTCTTCAAAATTGTCTCCATCTGTGATATCAACCTACTTCAACAAGAGAAGGAAATCATCTGAACTATGTGCATCAGGTGCTTTTATAGACTGAATAAGTATTTCAACCTACCTCTCACTGATGGTTGAAATGGACTGATGCATTTAGCTATATCTGTCTAATGATAGATATGAGCTCATTGAAACTATGTGTACTCAATGCTGAGCATCTTATTTTCCTTAACTTCATTTTAATATTTTACACTGTGTTACTTTTTAATTTTAAGTTTGTTTAGTATCTTAAATTATTAGATTATAAATATTTGTTAATAATAGTCAATAAATATCTTCACGTAAAGTACATATATTTTATAGTAAATAATACATATTTATTTTGTTATATGCAATACATACTTATGTGATACATAAGCATTTAACTATCCTTACATGTTATTGTTAATTATCACATTTACCTTGTTATTTTAGGCATTTTTATTATTCTAATATTTGTTATCATAACTGGAAATAACCATAAATAATTGTTAACATCTGATCTACTATTAATACATTTAATTTCTTATTAATATGTATACCACAAGATATTATACTTGAATAGTCTACTGTATATCTTATTGCAAATCCTGTATGTTGTTATGTTACTGTTTATTGCATTATGTAAAACTGTATTTATATTATTTTCCAAAACACTTACCAAAACACTTACTAAAACACCTTTTCTTGCAGCCGAAGTTTATAAGCGAAACTTTCTAACGTTTTCGGTCTTGTTAAAAGACCTTTCTCAAGAAAATAAATCAAATAAAACAACAAATTGTAAATCAAATGCTTAGTACAGTTAACATGTTTTTCAAATATTTTCGAACTAGCTTATAATCCGTTGCAAATGACATCATTGTGAACTTAGCAACGGAAATATAAAGATTACATAAATATCTAAATATAAATACATATAGTTACCATCTCCCTACAGTCCCATTCAACTTTGACGTCTTGCTGGTCCGCTAGAACGTAGGTGGCTAGCGCAGTGCATGGTTGTTTTTTTTCTTATATTTGCTTGATGTTCTGCTAATATTATTTTCCTTTGTATTACTTCAACTGACTATAATGTTTTGTGTGCTATTGATTTGTACTGTTAATATGTAAATAATTCTTATGTATACTTATCTGGTAAAGCACCTAGCAGGGCCAGATATGTGCATATGCTCTTTAAATAAAGACTGACTAACTGACTGACTGACATATAATACGTCATCTCACAAAAAAAAAAAACACGATGACCAGCTTCCCGGTATTCTTTTAAAAAAGTAACCAGGTTTTTACGGCGAACACGGAAATTAAACAACAGATCCGTTGCCAACCTAAATTTCACCTGTCTTTCCCTGCCCTCTTGTTGAATTTTCGTCCAAAATTTTTGCAATAAATAATTTCAACATTTCCAGGATGACAACTGGATGCTATAGAATTCCCGAGCTTTACTTCTCAAATGGGAAACACCAACAGTATTATGCTCCGACAGATCAGTCACATCCAATTCCTTAGAAAATAAGTTAACAATATAATCCCGCAAATCCAACTCGAGTGGAATACTATTGTGAGATCCGAATAGACCCTGGGACTAATTAATAATTTAATTATAAAGTTAAATTTTGAAAGAAAATATTCTTTAATTTTTGGTGTGAAAATATCGTTTTTCTAACATGGGAAACAGATAAAAAGCCATTTCCTTTAACGTAAGTTGAAACATCCTTCTGTTTTCCACCTATCTAACAAAAATCTCACCACCCTGTGAATTGCCAACCCCTCTATAAATCCTTTCTTCCTCTGTTCACGTGAGAAAATCCTAAATGCTAATTGGATGAAAAGTGTGAGATATAGTCATAGTTTTGCATGATTCAGGGAGTACGTCAGAAGCTCTCATAGAGTAAAGAAGTATCCCATATTTGCTCACTAAGGCCAACGCCCTTAGTTAAAAGAGTACGCATGAAGATCTCATAGAAGTGAGACGTATTCCATACTTATATTGAAAGTCAGCGCCTTGGTCATATCCCTCATAAATTTAATAATGAGTTAAATTAGTTAAATTTTATAATTATGTGCCTTTCAAGACCTCTCCACGAACAGAAGTAGAAGAACTGGAAGAAGCCTAAATAAACTAAAGGTCATGATAAAGAGAAATCATCTAGAGGTAGTATGATTAACATTGAATTTGTGAGTTCTCTCTCTCAATTGTTTAATCTCTCAATGCTTAATCTCTCAATCGTTTACATTTAATTATTGAATTATTCCATTTTTGTGTAATTTTGTTTATTCTATTTTTATTAAATTCCTTTATTATTTGTTTAAGAAATGTCTCATCATTGTCTGAATCAAATCCTTGTTATCTTTGCCACATGTGTGTTAATCCACGTATCTAAATTTGATTAACTGGTATCGGGACTCCTGACGAGGAAAAGAGTGATTATGAAATCCTCAAATCCCACTTTAAACATTTACTTAACACTGTAAGTCCCTCCACCTTCGATTTTCTTTGAATTGGGAAAAGCCATCCTTTTTGACAAACAGAGGGCTATTCTCATGAAATAGTTTGCCAATTAAGTGATACACGAGTAATAAACTACTCCGTACCCTCGGCTAGCTCCTCACACTATGATTAAACAACATTAAATTGCTTCTGTTTGAAGCATTAACTTATCTATCGTAGGCAAAAGAGTGTAACTCACCAATGTCACCCAAAGGTAACTGATGTTGCTGTTCCAGTTTATCTAGTCGCAAACATACTTTAGAAAAGTCAGTTTCCAATTTCCTTATCGAAAACAAGGTTGACTGGTTGGCCATTTCCGAATTAGCGAGCCTATCTTCGATATACTTCAACTGCATCATTACTGCATTTAAAGTCGTCTCCAAATATTGCCGTAAGGTTAACAATTCTTCTCTATCTGAGTCCAGAGGAGATTGCCTTTTAAAATAATGTTCTAACTTTGGATATTTTACACCCGAATCACTTGGTGAACGATGATGTTTAGTTCCCATCCGTTCTTATTGGGTTTGCTTTAACACTTCTGGAGGAGTATGTGGGAACATTTCCAAAAAAATAGAACTAATGACACAGAATAACACAATAGAGCAAAAAACATACCAATTTTAGGTAGCAAATAAATAAAAGACTCAGTAATTTACAATAAAAAAGTGTTAACAAAATTTCCGACAAAAAGTCACCAGCAGCCGAGGTTACTCAACAGCGCCCCCCGCAGTCATTAATTATTACCCCTTCTAACCCACACTCAAGTTTTTTCAAGTTCATTACATAGTTACATAGCATTAAATAAAAAACAGGCGTTTGAGCCATTGAAAAAATTTTTTTCATATGTTTTTTAAGTCTCCAAAGTTTTTCAAAAATTTTTTCCTGCACAAAAAAATTTTATAGCAATTTTAATTAACCTTTAATGACACGTGATTAATGTTTAATTGTTTTTTATGGCATTTTGATATCAAATTACATTCATCGTTCTGAAGTTCTAGCGCACAGATTTTACTTTGGTAAAGTTATTTAAAGCTACTTTATGATGTCAAAAATGGCATCCAATATTATTTTAATTAATCGATTTTATTATGTATACGTTTAATTAAGTTTGGGGAACAGAAATCACAAAAAAAATGTAATTTTTGCAAAATATTTAGAAATATATGCCCAGCTAGTATTCACCCTACTTTAGGTTGTTCATTCCTTCTGGCATCTATGTAAATGTTCTGGGAAAGACGACACCAACTGTTCTCAAAGTCATCCAGTTGTAAACAAGATAACTCATCAGTGTCAGACTTTGCAGAAAGGCGAGACAAAGGAAAATAAACTTTAAAGCTTTCTCTTCAAAATTAACTCATTTCTTTCATTTTTTTCAGTTTTAAGTATTTTTTACATTTAATTAAATCAATATTTAATTAAGGAAGATGTAAAGTGGTTAAAACATTTGAAGGTTACTTTGATGATGAGACTTTCATATACCAGGATGACAATGTATCATGCCATAACGCTGAACAGATTAAACAACGGTTTCAAGAACATAACATACAATATTAGAATGGTCTGCCAACGGGCCAGATGTATCTACCATTGAAAATGTTTGAAATGTTCTGAAGAAAATGGTGTCAAAAAGAGCTACAATCACAGAAGAATTAAAAAAGACAGTTAAAGAATCTTAGTCAGAAGTTTATCCAGAACTATGTAAAAAACGTATTTATACAATAACCAGAAAAATTATGGCTGCAATTAAAGCAGAAGATGCCCTACAAAGCATAACCATCAGTGTTCCATATTTTTGTTCAACCAGTGGCGTAGCATGCGTGTCAGCCACCCGAGGCGGAGGAAATTTTTGTCACCCCTTATTTAGGTATCGCAATTTAAAACACTAAAATTATGTTTCATCACAGAATAAGTAATGAAAAATTCCATGCTCATTTCAATCGGTCCGAATTGTAGGTGTGACAAAAATACAAAATGAAATGGTTCAAATTTTTACAAGATATTAGTCTATTATTATTTATTGTGAAATTTTGCCGCTCCCTAAAAGTGCTGCGTGGGGTGGGCCGCCCCTGCCACCCCCACTATGCTACGCCACTGTGTTCAACTTACTTTGTTTAAAATGCTGTAACTTTGTAATTTATGCAAATATCTTTATGACATTTGGTGTGTAAATACTTAAATATGTCTGTTATATTTGCCAATTGTTAAAAATTCAATTACATTTTTATGAATTTGATTATTTCAGGATCAAAATAATTTTTCCAAAACAATATAACAAAATATTCCATAATTTTGTTCAATTGTTGTAGTTCTTACCAGAATAGAAGTGCTATCTATTGGCAATCATTCTGAAAGCAGAGATGGTAAAAGTCGGTTCTGCCTCAGGTACAGGTTATCATCAAGCCGGCACCCATTATTGTGAGCAATGTTATTACTGTGTAAAAAAAAAACATTAATACTTTAAAAATTACCTTTACAATCTTTTCCATCCTGATAAAATCCTTCTTTGCAGCTGATAACACAACTTCCTTCTTCTAATAATAAATTACCAAGACATGAAATGCAATCATGAGGAGTTGGTCCTTGACATTTTTCACAGGATACAGAACATTCTAAATTAGATGTGTTAAAGAAACAAAAAGTAAAAATAGTTTTGCAGTTAAACAATATTAAACAACTAATAAAAACTACCAAATTAGTCAAATGAATCAGTAGTAAGAACTGCATGTTAGATAAATTTATGAATTTCTTTGAACAGTGGAGGATATTCGTGTTTGTTTACTTCTCAAATTAATGAAATCATTCTCTAAATATACACACCAGATTCAAATCACCCATTTCACCTTTCTACCAAAATACCAACCTATTTTTTTGTCATCTCCTGTGTCACTCCTGACAATGGGCTCAGTTGCCAAAAAGTCGGGAAAAAACTACAGTGAGTGATTGGTCAACAAATATAATCAGTTCAAGACAATGTTTGTTACCCGAAATGTTTGTTAACCGATTATCGATTTACCATAGATTTTCGTGGGAATTTGATTAATTCGTTCTGGAGACCCCCAAAAATAAATAAAAAATTATATACTTTCTTTCTATGTTTATTTACATGTAATAACAATCTAAAAACAATCTCTCCATTTTTTTTCACACATGGCACATCTTTGTACTTCAAACGCAATTTTAGTTACTCCATTATCTGCTTGAGTCTTTTGGATTTATCTATTGTACACCTGTTGAAGTCATACTGCCTAGGAACATTAGACATCATATGCCCAATCTCTACCTTGACTATTATCTCCTGCTTAGTTTATGTAGTGAACACAGTTCTTGACACTCCACTCTTTTTAGCCACATAATATTATCAGTCTTTTAAAATAAAAAGTTCAGAAAAGCACTTACAAAAATTCAGAGACCAGAAATCAACTAATGCAAAAAAGTTTAGGTATACAACTGTGAAACTCTCATTCCATAAACCATTCATAGATTCCAGTAAAATACAGTTTTACAAATCTTAAATGCAGCATTGATTCTGCATTGAAAATTGTTTGTTGTCCAATATGTGTGTAGTCCGAACTGTTCGTTAAGCAATCACCCACTGTATTTTTAAAGTGATCTCCAATAAGGCAGATTATTGTTATTGTTGCAAACATGTTGATTGTATTGATATTAATTGTTTTAAAGTGAAATGAAATGCATAATGTTAGGATCTTGGAAACAAAACATGTACCAGCAATGATATCACTAAATCCAGTGCAAGAAAAAGGAAACAATGATAACTATCTTCCTCAAGCCAAAAACCAGCTCATAGTTACTGCTACTGCTTAAAAAGAAACATTTCAACTGATAAATAAAACGATGTTTCAAGAGCTATTGAATGTATCTGTTTCTGAGAAAAACAAAACAGGGTTCATTTTTGACCTGGCCTGAGTGCCAAAAGCTGGGCTCAAAAATAATGGTATCATACACTCATACATGAGTAGCACACACCCCATTCCCAGTTGTCATCATGATGATGTGGTAATGGTCATTATTTCTTTTTATCTGTATAGTATCTATAATTTAAAATAGTCCAAAAGAAATTAAATTTTTGTAATATTTTCTGAAGTTTTGTTGTATGTAAGTGATTGATTTTTACCAATTTGGAGAATTTTGTTATAATTTGTTACAGTGGTCCTTGGGAATAAAAAATACAGTAACCACAGCCATAAAGAAGACAGAAGGACTATTTCCACGGTTTTTTTTACTAGACTTGTTTAATATTGTATTGTTACTAACCTACATAATTTATAATCCTAATAATAATGTGTAATAATTTGTAATTATTGTACTACTAAGATATATTGTTATGTTGGTAATTGTCACCATAAACACTGCTTTTTGTATGTTATCAAATTGAAAAGAACCAGTAAAGCCAAAATATATTTTGAAGAGGAAGATTTTTCATTACAAGAAAATCTTGTAATGAAAAATCTTGTTTGATTGCAGTCTAATCAAGTCAGCCTGAAGAGGATAGTTGTAAACTATCCACATGTAAACATCTCAAAGCCTAATGCATTAATATTAAACCAAACAATTGCCGTAAAAGTTAATCATTAATATAGCACTTAATTAGCCCATCTAATTACAATGATAGTTTGGTTTAATAGTTGTAAACTATCGTAACTACTTACAACTTTGAATAAAATGTTGATTTAATGCCGGAAAACAGTGTATATTATTTTATAACATTACACTAGACTAAAAGCAGTAATGCAATAATACCAATAAAATGCTAAAAAATGCTAAAAAGTTAAAGTATCTCGGACACATCCAACACACCTTACTGCTGAGAACATGTATTTATTAAACAAAACAAACGTTTTCAACCCAATTTATGGGCCATCTTCAGGTTAACGTCGTCCGACTCTAATACAAAATTGAACACGTTCAAAATTAAACCAAATTAGAAAATACGTTTAAATTAAACTAATAGAATAAGCATAACCAAAATAAAACAATAAATAATAAAAAACCAAGATAACACAAAAATGAATATAAAATACGGTAATTTGCCGTAAACACTAAGGAACAATTCCTTATACATTAACCCAAGTATCTATTGAGTCACAGCAGATGCATTATTATGCATGTTTTTTTCTTATTATGTATTTCCACGATGACGGTAACACGGTCGCATCTTTATAATTTAAACATCTATCCATCAAACTCGCTCTGTATATTTCGCATTTCTCTGTTATGGATGACAGCGTTGGCGAGTGTACTTTTGCAAGAATTTTGGCATCCTCCCATTTAACAACCGAACCATCCACTTGTGCCATTTTGGATAATGCTGTTGCACACCTGCTCTTTGCGACATCGTACATGTGTTCCTTAATCCTCACCCCAAGGTTTCTATTAGTGACCCCTACGTACTCCTTATCAATTCCCAACTGGTCATTTTTGTAGGGAATTGCATATACTTATGCCTGTTCTTTATCATCAATTTTTTCTTTGTCATTTCTAATCAACCTATACACTGTGGGGGCCCTTTTGTATATTATACTGGCGTTTTTGTGTTTTGCTATTTGCTTCATAATCGGGAAGAGACATTTATTATACGTAAAATTTGCGAAGTTACCACTGGTCTCTGGTTTTTTCTTAGAGCCGCTCCTAGGCTTTACGTACGCTGAAATTAAACGCTCTATAGATCTTGTTCCAAACCCTAACTCTTTTGCAACATTTTTGATCCTACCCAGTTCATCCATCGTGTCCATTACATTTGAGCAATACAGAAACGCTCTTCTGATTAGCGCCCTAAAGGCGGATAGTTTATAAACCGTCGGATCATTAGATGTCGCCGGTATATACATCGGATCATGCGTGGGCTTGATGTACACCTTCGTGTATAAAGTTCCATTCTTAAATTCAATGCTAACGTCCAAGAAGTGTAGCTCCTTGTTACTAACCTGCTCTAGGTTAAGTTTTAAGCCATGTTGGTTAGAGTTCATTTGGCCCAAGAATCGTTGTATCATTGTGTCATTCTTCCATATAATTAGAACATCATCTACATACCTTTTGTACATGATTATGTATTCATTATAGTTGATAAGCGTCATGCGTTCCATTTTTCTCACCACTAACTCACAGAGCAGGCCAGACATCGGGCTGCCCATCGGGACTCCCCTTAACTGCTTATAAACTTTACCTTGGAAACTGAAAAATGACTGAAAGCATACCAGATCCACCATTATCTCTAGATCTTTTCTGTGTTCAGATGCCTTTGGGTGCAACTCACATAAAAGGTTCACTAACTCCTCAAAACATGAGGTAAGATTTATTGATGGATACATACTCTCGAAATCCATAACCTATCGTTAATGGACAATGAGGTTGGGATGGTTATGGATTTCGTTATGGATAACGTTCTAAAATATGGATGGTTATGGATAACGTTCTAAAATTTTAAATCTTTAAGCACAACAGCTCTTCAAATCTCAGAACTTTTAACCTGAAAAAGACCGAAAAATATGGTCGAAAACGTTTGTTTTTCAATTAAATATTTTACTGGTCACTTAAAGGTTGTTATGAGTCTATTATATATTGTACCAGTACCTGTAAACGAGTGTTTAACCTTTACACAAGGTAAAGAGGATAAAAAAGAAAAGATTTGAAAAAGTTATATATTTTTTTGTCATCTTGAACTTCAAACATTGGCTATGTTACAAGTTTTTCAGCTGTATAAGAACAAAAGTACAGTTATCCTATTCTTTGTTGCCTTCAAGCCAAAAAGCAGAAGACTCATTTTTCTAAATATATGTTCTTTCTGGTATTTTCTTCCAATATAAGGCAAATTCATCAGCATCAAAGACTTGTTCTGTTAAATTCCCTCTTTTATAATTTTATTCAAAATTTCACATTTTTGGAATGCATCTGTTTTTGGACATTTTGAATGCATCATATTTTTGGACACATTATTCTCTGAATGGAGTTTCCCGTTTCTATAATTGAAAATTTTTCTATGTTGTCTTTGAAACCGTGTTTGATAAATTTGTTGGACTTCAAACTCAAAATTGAGTTTTAAATAAACACTTGGCTTTATTTCCATCTCTTTTAGTTGATACATGCCATTTGCACGTTTCGGGCATAAAGCCCCTCATCAGTCAACTAAATGATACAATATTTATAGGAAAAACTAAACTCAAACTAAGTATACGATTAAAGGAACACATTGCAGATCTCGAATATCATAGACTAAACTCCGTTTTTCACAACAATTGTTTATTAAACAACTGTAATATAGATAAAAATAACGTTCAAATTTTATACAAAGAAAAAAACATGTATAATAGAAAATTTCAGGAAAGTGTTTCAATTTTAACAGCCAAAAACTGTATTAATAAAAATTTAAGTGTAAAAATAAATGAAAACTGGCTGAAAATATTATAAAACACGTAGTATATGTTAAAGTCGATTGTAATTGTCTGTAAAAGTTATACTGTTGTTACCATTCATAATATCTCTGTACTATGCAAATCAGTACAAAACCGCAATGCAGTAAATGACACGCATACAGTCAAAAGACAATAATGTAAAAAACTGCTCATTTCTGAAATGTAGGTGTAATTAAGTCTATATTTCTTAGATATTGTAATAGTTGGATATTGTGAAATAAGCAAAAGATTATATATAGCAGATTTTAATGTAAAGGGAATTACTCCACTTATTGTGAGATATGTTGTGTGTCAATTGGGTAAAGACCTTGTATGTATAATGGATTGAATATGAATATGGTAAGAACTATACCTTGTTTTAATTCAGTTTTGTTTGATATTTAGTGTAATATTTTAAATATTGTATCATTTAGTTGACTGATGAGGGGCTTTATGCCCAAAACGTGCAAATGGCATGTATCAACTAAAAGGAGATGGAAATAAAGCCAAGTGTTTATTTAAAACTCAATTTTGAGTTCAAAGTCAAACAAATTTATCAAACATGGTTTCAAAAACAACATAGAAAAATCTTAATCTTTGTTGTTGTTTTTGCCCAAGCAATGCCGGACTCATCTGCTGGTACTGTATAGTTTCTATGCCATCTTTCTTTTATATATGTGTATATATGTACTTACATTTTTCATTTTTATTTTTATTGTGATTTTTCAGATTTTAATTGAGTATTTTTCATTGTTAATGTGGGAATGGCTTATTTTGTTCATTGAATATCATTTATCTTTTCTATAAAGAATAATGCTAATAAAATCATGCATATTCTATAAATAGAAAGATATTTACATAGAACTAGCAATGTACAGACATAATAATATATTATTAAATGCTTTTTTAAATCAGAAATTTTTATTTTTATTGTAAAAAAAAGTTTGAATATCATTTCTAACAAACTGAACATATATACAAACCTTTACATTCTCTTGTTCCATAATCTAAATAATAATCTTCATAACAAGATGAAACACATTCTCCAAACTGAAGAACAAGGTCATCTCTGCACATTTGACATTCACCATCATAACTACATTGTATGCAGTTAATATCACATGCTGAAAACAATAATAATAGAATATAATAAATAGGTTTGTCGAAATAGCATATAAACTGGCTGCCAAGCATTTCATATAAAACTTCATGACATTTAAATCAAATATAAATTTATTTTTACTAAAATATATTTTAATAACTTATAGTATTAGTCTTTTGGTTGAGAGTCAAATAAAATGAACAGATTAAACAAATTTTAATTGTACAAGTATTTTTGTTATAAATAACAATGTCATTAGGAAAATGTTCATTCTTGTAGAAATACAAAAAAAAAAAAATTTTAACATCAAAAATTTTAAATGAACAAATTTTTGTATAATTTTTTAATTTTAAAAACATTTGAAAATGGGAAGACATGATGGATTAACAAATCATGATTATATAGCTTACTAAATGATTCTAAAAGCTGGATTACTTGATCAGCAAACCAAAAACCTTATTAGTGACACTGAAGTCATGCTAAAACATACCTTGACAGCATTCTCATGCTTATTTTAAAAAAAAAAAGCTAAGCCCTTGTACAATACTTTCTGAACATCTAGGTTGAACTTTAGCCTATGTACTTGGGCAACAAAAACTAAAAAATTATTTCTTGAGTTCTTTGCACCAATTACAAATATATAGATCATTTTTTGTGCATTTAACTTTTTAAACAAGAAACTACCTATTTAAAATTTATCTTGTATACTAGTACAATATCAATTAACAGGACTTATTATACTGGATTTATGGATGCAGAAACTTAGTCTTACAGAAATAATATTTTTTATTTAATTCACAGGTGAATTAAATAAAAAATATTCAATATACAATAAATATACAAGATAAATTTTAAATCAAGATAGAAGACACAAAGGCATAATAATTAAGAAACTACTTAAATCAGTCTTTTTCATTCCAAACGAAATTGGCTGATGGAAAAGTTGTTTGACAGGTTTTTCTATACATGGGGATCCTATTTAAACTTTTGTTTTAAATTTCCTGACCTTCACATCCCTTACAGTAGGGCATATAAACAAAGTACAACAGCATTTGACTTACTTTGCACATATACTATTGTTTCTTCAACATTTTAGTTATTTTTTATAATTAACAGTTATAATTGCTGAATTATTAATATTACAAATAAAATTTTTAATTAAATTAAACAAATTTATCCTGTTATTAATCCTCAACCATAAATCTACATTGAAAAAAGAAAAAATGCCATTATTTATTAACAAATCCTGTAAAAAGTATATATTTCCTAAATTTATCCCTTAATAAATTTCCTGAACTTTATAAAATAATAAACTGGAACAAAACATTGCTTTTTTATGCAATCACATTTATTTGTCATTTTAGTACTTTATCATCTTTTTATCAGTTTCTAACATTTTCAACACTTGGTGGCGATATCTTCCTTAATTCAGCTACTAGATTCTCTAATACATCTGTATCTAATGTTTCCTTGTATAGTTCAGAGCAACAACTTGTCCACTTCTGTAGGACTTCCACCCTGTCCACTAAAACCTCTCCCTTCTCATCTTTGGTTGCCGTTTGCTTTGGTTTCCATTTCTGATCTTATATACTTCTCTAGTCTTACATTCTCCATAATATTTTTCTATGTTTCTACACTGATCCTCTAGTCATTTTGCTTTATCCATTCTAACTGCTTTTTTCACTTAATTGCATTTTACCTTATACTGTTTTACCAACTCTTCAAAAATGTCTCTTCTAAGCCTAAGAGCTTTTTTCTCTTGGACAAGATTTAGGGTCTCTTGTATGATCCATTTCTTGTTGATTTTTTCTTCTTCTAGTAGGGTTTGTTCAATTGCTTCTCTTATTAACTTTGTTATTTCTTCCACTCCTGAGTCTAGCTCTTCCATCTTGTCTAGGATCTTTATCTTCTTCTCAAGTGTATTTCTATATATGCTCCCTATTTTCTCATCTTTTAGCTATGTAATGTCTCTTTTCTTTTGGAAATGTGCATTAACTTTGAATGTCTGAGGAAATTAAGGCATCAGACCATCACTCTAATGCATCCAAGATCATATCCACAGTCGAAAAAAATATCAGAAATTTTTCAGGGGGCCTTGTCCTGGATATGTTGAGCCTCATCCCTTGCCACCTGGCTGTTCCCATCGTGGACCAGGCTGAACTCACTATGGGCATGAAAAAAAAACTCTTAGTGCTAACAGAGTAGAAAGAGTAAAAACAAAAAATCAAAGCAGCCTATCACCCAAATTGTGATTTCAAATTAGAAGATGGAAAATGCACATTGTATCAAGCTGAATGTCAGTTTGCATGGGCAATTTTAAACTAACTCACATCTGAATCAAGGATAGACATTTTAAAATTTTAAGTAATAGTATGCATTGGCTTTGAGCATGAATAGATTTAGAGAGTACAATCAGGGCCATGCTGAATCCTCCTTATGATGGTTTTCCTGAGTAAAGCCAGGTACATACCTGACAGTAAAAAATATTGTAAAGCATGTATTATTAAAAATTGTATAAAATTCTAGAAAGAATTCTCTGTCTCTTCCAACTTCAGAGATAATTAAAGAACATCCAAACAACACTTATAACAGGACAAGGTTATTTTAATTATTAAGCATCAACTGTAAAATTATTAGCTACATATACCAAATGCATTTTGCCAAAGCAGCAATGCTTCTGCCTCTTCAGTGATAATTATACAACTATTCAAATGTAGTTTGTTTACAGTTCACAATCCTATCTCAATATGCATCAACGTTAACGCCATTATTTAAATTATTATTATTAACATCTTTCTAATTTATTATTGCAAAATTGTTCTTTCATTTTTCTTTTAATGGTGTTTTTTCCTTATAGAAAATTTTTATATAATCTATAATAATGCCACAATTTGTTTCATTACAACATAAATACCATGGTGACATCATAACACCTAATCTGATCATCTGTAGTAGTGCGAAGCAGCTAAGTATTATTATATAGGAAAAACATAAAGAATAGTTGAAAAAAGATTAAAAGAGAATCAATCATCTATCAGATTAGGCATTAATATAGAAATTTTCTAGAAATTAATATAGAAATTAATTTAATAGTGGGCTAGTCTACCACTGTGAGAGAAATGGCAGTTCTAAACATTTCTATTTTTCCTAATTTTTTTTAAATTTCCTATAAGACATTAAAACTTTAATTCCTGGTTAATTTCCTAACGTATGTTTCATTTTTCATGACAGAACTGTTATATTAAATTCATTAACAATTAAATTCATATTAAAATTTCTGTTAAAACACTTCTTTTTAAAACACTTTTAAAATTTAATCTTTGCCCATAATTTTGTAAGAGTTACAGTCATTTGTAAAATAAATTAGAAGCAAGTTTTTCTATTTTACAATTAAATTCAGGCAATAAACTTTAAAAATTATAATAATGCTTTATTTCAAATTTTCAGATTATGTATTTAATTTTTACTTAATTCTTAAAAATTATAGTATTAAATAAAAATGCTTAATTAAATAATTTCTAGTTTTCCAAAATCAAAATTCTGCTTTATTGGAGCATACAAATTTAGATTAAGAATTCTTCATTGAATTGAAGAATTAGAATACATAGGGCAATATGTTGGCACATTACCACCCATCTAAAGTAATACTAAGTTGACATATCAAAAGGCAACATATTAGCCATCATCCTGTAAACATATGCCGGAAACCCAGAAGTGAAAGTTCATTTTAATCAAGCTAAAATCCTACATAGAACAGTGGTTAAATCACACATCAGATATCTGGAGTTAATGAAGATCTACAAGGCAACCAACTACAAGGAAAAAAGCCATCAACTACAAAAACAATAGCACAATTCCAAACCTCTGGAAAATATATATCAATTCAACAGAAGCACATTCCACGCAAGATGCTACATAAAACCATTCCACCAATCAGTGACTATCAACAATGGCAACATAGTGATTAAGATCTGTTCGAAAATATTTGATTCAAATTTAGATTACCAGCCCGAAGACATCCTTTTAAAAATGAACAAAAACATTTTCTTTCCAAAGTTAATTGTTCTTTTGCTGGTTTATTGGACATAGTGGAATTTTTATTCTTAATATTAACCAGTAATTGGTGGTTGCTTTTTATGAATGAGTTAAAACCAGAAATGATATCAGAAATGGTACCAGAATTTGTAGAGTGATGATATCTATGATTTCCAAGGCTTCACTAGAATTGACATAAAAGTAAGAAAAGTACAGTAGACCCCCCCCTATAAAATGAGTTCATATAATATGGATTCGTATATCACAACAAAAAAACTGATCGTATTCATATGAACACACTAAAAGAACTTGTATAATACTGTAAAACGTCATCGCCGACTCGTGTCGTGACAGGATTGGTCAAATCTACACCAGTAGTGGATATTGCACAAACTGTTGAGTTTAAACGAGCAGCAGACCTACTAAAAACCATTTATTATTTAATGGTCATAAAAATTATATTTATATTAATGACGTCTCCAAAGTTCAGCGAATTTTTTGCAGAAAAATAATTTATCAGGAAACATGCACCCACTGTTCGATGTGCCGCTCCGTGACGAAAACAATGGTGTCGTCAAACGGTGCACACTCAGTAAGTAATCCTACAATTTTTGTTTACAGCACAGTTTATATGGATTATTCCCAAAAAATTATGTGTGTTTTGGGAATGTTGAGTCAAATCGATTAATTAGTCTAGAATCGATTAATTTTATGGAAGAAAACCTTTCAAACAGCCGTAGTCCCTAAACTGCATACGTGCCGGGCTGCGATTGGCTCATGTATTTAAGTGACTCGTACAACATGGAATTCATAAAACACAGAACATATCTACCGTGTTATAGGAAGTCTACTGTAATTCAAACAGCAAGACAAATTGGTGGTGAGGGATTTGTTGATATGATAGAGGAGAAATGGTAAATCATATTGAAGGACATCATGAAGCATTGAGAAATGAGGAGTTAGAAGATCTCATCAAATCATTTACAT